AATCTAGGGGGAAGAGTTGGCTCTGTCCGAGGGAAGGAGTGGCAAAAGTGTCATAGGGGAGAAGAGAGGCACAGATGTGGCTGAAAAGACCCCAAAATGGGACCGATTTCTTCATTTTCTTTGATTTTTGTTTCTGGGGCTGTATTCCTGGCCCCTGCCACAGTGCTTAGTTCATATAAGTACTTGATTTGTGACTGTGCAGTGAAAGAAGCATATTTTGCATGCCTGTGAGTTCAGTGATGGCAACGCCCATGCCTTAGATGTCTGATTTATCTTTCTCCCCTGCCACGTCTCAGCCTTTACATACCTATCACTCAAGTGTTTGTTGGATGAAACATGAACGGAAAATGTAGGGTACAGAACAGGTAAGAAAAGGCAGAGGGGAGAACCTGAACGGTGGCGAGAAAATGGGCTTTTGGAAGCAAAGAGAGCCCAGGAGAAGAAGTTGGAAAGGTATGATTGGGTAGAAGGAGGAAAAGAAATCAGATTCCTAGAGGGACCGACAGTGAGTGGGAGTTAGAGTCTTGGATGGTGGAAGCCACAGTTCGATGTATTCCGTGGTGACACTGTGCCAGCACTGATTGCCGGGCCCAGCTGCAGGACACCAGGTAGGCAGGGGTGAGGCCCAGGGCTGCCCGGCCTTGTGAGCTTCAAGACATGAAAGTCAGAACTGATGGTGAAATACTTTACTTTTTAAACTGTAGAAAAGCATTTCAAATCAAAGGAAAAATAAACATAGCTAGATGGGGTTCCAGAATAAAAGAAGACTGACTCAGGACACCTTCAGTATCCGAACAGGGACTTTGGGAACTTCCTCAGTGTGCCGCATGCAAAATAATATGTAAATGAGAATGGGTTCGGCTTTGGGGGGAATAGAACTGGAAGAGAGATTGGGCTTGTGTGTGCTTTGTAGTGTGTAAACATTGTGTATTTGATTTTGGAATCGCAAACATTCTGGGAGGCTGAAGCAGGAAGATTGTGAGTTTGAGCCCAGCCTATGCAACTTAGCAATTGAGTGGGACACCGTCTCAAAATAAAAAATTAAAAAGGGGGTGCTGAGCATATAGGTCAGTGTGAAAGTGCTGGGTCAAACCCCCAGTACTACAAAACAAAACAAAGATGAATGCTTTGTTTCGTTCACTTCTCAGGCTCAGCCTTGGATCAGAAGGTGATAAGTCACAGCTGGTCCCTCAAGAAGCGGGGAAGGAAGACAGGTGACAGAAGCAACAGGGAACCTGGTGGCGCCAGGGACGGAGCACCCACCAGTGTGGCTTCAGGGGCTGGTGGATTGAGGGCAGTAAGAAAAGTGACAAGGCCTCAGGAGAGGGGTCAGAGCGGCCTGGGGGATAATAAATCCAGGTGGTGGGAGCCTCTTCATTTTGTGGCCTCTCCTGCCATTGAATTAGGTCCAGGCCTCTCAAGTAGCCTACCGAGCACTGGGCACCAGAGCGGATAGCACAGTGTGGAGACTCAGGAAGTTAGGCAGCGTTGGGTCCTGAAAGTCCTCACCCAGATATTTAACATGTCCTAAGAGCCAGCCTGCTTTTTAGGTTGAGGGTGTCATTTGCTGCATGACCTTGGAGAATTTTCTTAGCTTCTGGAAACCTCAGTTTCCGCATCTGTATAATGGGGACAGCAATCAAATAAGACCCATCGATGCATTGTGAGATTAGCAGAGTATTTGTGTGGCACCCTCAGCACTGTGTCGGGCACATAGTGAGCACTTAACAAATGATGGCAATTGTTATGTAGAAGTTCTCAAATAAGATAATGGAGAAGGGATGTTGTGGATCCCAAGAGGGAAAAGGCTTTCTGTTTTCTTTTTATTCATTTCCATTATAGCTTGCAGTATAATTTGAAATGTTTTCCCCCAAAATCGACTTGTTCTTCTATAAGGTCTCACCCCTACCTCACCAGATGGCAAGGGGCAGGAAGGGAGGTAGCCTGACGGCACATCAGTCTTGTCTTCCAGTGGTTTCTAGCAGCTAAGCAGTTATCAGAGACCAAATAATCATTGCATTGTTCTGGAATTCAGAAGAGAGGGTTCCAAGACATGCAGATGTGGTATCATCATTTACAGCAATCCCATGGGCCAGTTATCACAGTGTCCTTCTTAAATGGAGGAGGCCCAGTGGTTTGCTCAAGTTCATGTCATGAGACAAGGGTTGAAATATTCTCTGGCCAGTGCTATGCTGTAGCCAGAGCCCGCATCCATTGCAAAGGGGTTGTCCATTGAAAAAAATAAACTGACAAATTAATAAAGGTTCATGCTGGGAAGAGACAGCTTCATTGGAGAGAAGGATTAGTAAGACTTTGCAGGTAACAAAGGACAAAAGTAAAAAATGTAGTCCTACATGAAAAAGGAGATTGTAACCACAGGAAGAGTAAGTTTGGCAAATAAATGAATGAGTGAACAAACAAATAAATGTGTGAGTGTGTATGTGAGAAGAGAGAGGGAGAGAGACAGAGAGAGAGACTCAGGTCTTCTCCAGCCTGTGTACCATGAACATGAGAAACTTGGACATTTTTCTCTTGCTGAGAGGAGACACTATAGGGCAAAGCATGGGTTATGATCAGCTTAAATTTTCTATAATCAACATTCTGATTAAAATAGGGATAGATTGCTGGAGGGTTCGAAGACAACTGTGAGCAGGGACCAGCTTGGAGACTCCTGAAATAAAAGGGATGGGAAACGGTGGACGTGGATGAGGTGTTGTAAAGTTTCTGATAGCTCTGATTTTGGAGTATGTAGGTATTCCCAGCAAGGTGTGGCTCCAGGGATACCCGGGAATGGTCTGTAGGAATGAATGAGAGTCAGACAGGGGTCCCTCTTCCAAAGGACTTTGGAGGCTTTGACATCTGATGCAGACTGGCTGCCCAGGAGTCACTTTGATTCTTATGCTGAAAAGGCCACATAAAAACAAATGCAGGCAGGCACTAAACTCTTGGAACGTCTTTCATTTGGGAATTTAAGCGCAAGGAACTGTTAGGTTTTGCAGTGGCTGCCATACCAAAGCATAAATCATGCCAAACTTGTTTGAAATCCCATCTTTAGAAGGTTTTGTGTTTTGACAAACCTTGCATCCAATTTGGTCCAGCTTTTGGATTTGTAATGAAACCTGAAACCCAGCATGCTGGCCTGCCTTGGGGTCTACAGGCACAAGTTCCAAGCAGCCTTAGTGTAATACCTCCCCTAATCTCATCCTGGCAAGCCACGTGACTGTGCTGAGCTGCGCTGCTGGAAGTTTGGGGTGGACTCTGCAAACGTTTCTTGCAATTATGGAAAAAAAGACAGCAGTTTGGGGGTATTTTTGTGCCCGAGTGTAAATTCTTCAGAGTGTAAATTGCAAAATTAGCAATAGTACTGTATCCCCTGTTGGCTAGTGACTTGGAGATACCCCAAGCCATGACTGGGGCAGAAAGTTAATTAATCTGCTTATTAAAAAAGAAGAAATGTCTCATTTGCATGCATTTGCATTGAGGTCTTGCATTCATCATGCTTTTTGGTGGTCCTTGGCTTTCTTTTTTTAACACCACTGACCTAGCTAGGTGTCAGCTCAGTGCATTTGAATTTTCTGTGACTTGGCTTTGTTTAAGTGTCATACATTTGGTTGTCATTGGTTCCAGCAGAATTTGATTTTCTTATAGATCCCTTATTTCCACATAGAGATTTTTTTCTCCCCTTCTTGGGCTGTTTGGATTTTTCTTCCAGTTATCATATTCCACAGTTAGGAAAAGATTTATAGACTTGGCTAATCTTGGGAAATAAAGACCTTGTCTCCATCAGAGTTGGGCATGTTATTTGGAGATGATCTGTTCAATTATCTGCAATTTCCTACTCAATTGAATTTTTTCCATGGTCATTTTTGTGGGAGTTTTCCTTTGGTTGTTTTTCCTATTTTATTGGGAGGTCTGCTTTTGGATTTTTTTTTTTTTTTTTTTTTTTTTTT